ATAATTTAACTATTTGTTTAACCACACAAAGCTAGCTCAAATTAAATTGAATAATTTTATGAGTATAAATATATTCCTGATAACTAGTAAAAACATGATTTAATTTTTAAAAAAACTTCATTAAATAATTTTTTTCTGAAAAAATATATGTAACAACCTAATGATCCATGTCACGAACTCCATTGAGTTTAATAATTTTTTTATAATTTTTTTTTAATTATATGATAAAAATATATGTAACAAAATTAAGTACCAACCTAAAAATAAATATTTATTTGAGACAGTGGTAATCTTATAAAAAAATAAAAATAAATCATACAATTTATTTTTTAACTAATTAAATTTTAAATTTTAAATTTTAAAAAAATAATTAAAGGACCAAAAACTAAAACAAAAAATATTTTACTAGTGGGTGAACTCGTTAAACCTCTGAATCAGGTAAGTCAGGCTAGCATGACAAACCAGTGCACTAGGTTATGGACTCTTGTGAAATTATAATTTTTTTAAAAAAAATTATTTTTTATTTAGCTATATGATAATAAAAATAGATAATTGCAAAATCAAACACTAACCCAATACTAAGATGTTGAAAAAAATAATTATAAAAAAAAAAAGTTAAACCCGCTAGATTTGTAAATAGGTCAACTAGTTAAACATGTGAACATGTACATGGACTTTATAAAGTTTAATAACAATGATTTTCACTAAAACTATTTAGTTTTTTATTGTATAAAAAAATAGACAAAAAAAATACTCAATTTCAATATTTAAAAGAAACACCCTATCAAACTCATAAATTAAGCATGGCTTAATAATTTTTTTCCTAAATAAAAATAATTTAAAAAAACTGAGAAACAACTATAAATCAAAATATTCAATATCACAATATGGGTTATTTCTTTGAAATAAAATAAACACACACATAAGATTTATTAAATAACAAAAAAGAAAAAAAACATATTATGCAAGGCTGCATATATATAAAATATTACAAAAAATAAATGTTTTTTATTTCTAAAAATAAAATTAATATATGTATAATATATAAAAAAAATTACAAATCAATCATAAGATTCTATTTAAAAATTAAACATATCCAATATAATTAAAAAAAATAATCACTATTTAAGAAAGAATAAATAAGCAAAAAAATCACAAGAAATAAAATACAAACTTAAAAATTATTTTAAAATATTATAAAAATAGTTATAAATTAAATAAAATCAAAACTATAAAATAAAAAAATAAAAAAAATAAGGTTAGGCCAAACTCCTGGCCTATGAACAAAAAGCTCACATGCAAGGTTGTAAGGTCAACCTCAATCATGAGAGCTTTAATTTTTTTTTTTATTTGTAAGTTAATGGAACAAGCATCATGTTTTTTGGCCCAATTCAATTTAAAAATAAGTAAATGATGTGTTGTTAATCTCAACAAACAACATGTAATTTAGAATTTATAGGTTTCAATTATTATACTAGCTAAAAAATTAGAATGACTAATTTTTCTCTTCTAAAATCTCATCTTTAATAAAAAACATCTTAACAACCTTATTAAATAAATTTATAACCTTCAAAAGGCAATAAAAAACTTGATTCAAAACCCAAAATCTTCCTTAGTTTAGATTTTTTTTAGCCACTTTCAAGGTTAAAGAAAAAAATACTTAAGTTGAACTCTCTTCATCGCATGGAGCTACTTAAAATAAATATTTATTATTTTGGATGCATGAATCGTAATAAAACAAACTCTTTATAAATTGAAATTCAACGACTTATTCTTTCTCTTCTCACTCAAAATAAAATAAAATAAAATTTAATATCAAAATTAATATATACAGAATTAGATGGATTAATTATCTAATAGTTAAAAAGATGGGGGACTAAAATGTATTTTTCATATATCATTGAAAGAAACCACCTATTTTATTCATATTTTTTACTTTATTCCTTTATCTTTTAATTTAATCCTCTCTTTATTAAAAGAAAAAAAATGTAATTGGATGCTAATAAAAGCTCAATTGTGTAGAAAAAAGAAATTGAGAATCCAATTGAATTTTTTAAAAAAATTTAAAAAAAAATTCATTGCTATAATCTAATATGTTAAATGATAAACAGTGATTCTGGAACATTAAAAATACACACCTTTTAACTTTGTACTTAATTAATACTTAATAAAAGAAAGAAAAGAAAAAAAACAGCTGGGCTTCCCATTTTTGAAAAAGGGCCTAATGATTCCAAAACAAGAAACCCTATTGAATTTTTAGTGAGGCCCATCTCTTAAGACCCAAATAAGCCCAGAGAGTGAAAAACCCTAGCGAGGGGAGTCGCTGAAACAAGGTAGGGCTGGCGAGCTATAAACAGCCGCTTCCTCTCAGCTGCCGAGTGTGAGAAAAACCGAGAGGGAGAGAAAAGATGGTGTCGTTGAAGCTCCAGAAGCGGCTTTCCGCTAGCGTTCTCAAGTGCGGGAAGGGCAAGGTTTGGCTTGATCCAAATGAAGTCAACGAAATCTCCATGGCCAACTCTCGTAACACACTTTCCCTTCCTTATCACCCGTTGTTTTTAATCGTTTTTCTATTAACATTTTTGTGTTTTACTATTGCTTTTGGTCTGATTAGTAACAAATGATCTACTATTATCTACTATTAAAATCATGATGCCAAGATTATGTAGTAATCCCATAACAAATATTGCAAAATGGGTTTTTTTATGAGATGATAATGACGACGACGATGATGATTACTTGTTAATCAATCATTTGTTTAGATTAGAGAGCCCATTTTCAGTTTAATCTTACTAGAAAAAAACGTGGGATTTAAGTTTTTTTTGGGTTGTAAAGGTGAATTTTTTAGTATATTTATGTAGTTTTATTAATAGATATAACGGGGTTTAGAATCTGAATTCCATCAATAGTTTTTTAGTATATGGTTTTTGGGCTGTTGAATTTTAAGTTAAAGCTTAAGTTTGATCTCTCCGTCATTTTTTTATTGGTTGTTCTGCATGCAAAATGACAGAAGTATAATTTGTTTCTAAATCCTTTTAAAAAATAAGATTTTGGTTATTGATTGTTTTTAGTATGTAAGCCATCTTTGTTACTAGTTGATTTAGTTTTGGTGTTCCGACATCTGCTTTGGTTGTCCTTGATGTCTTTCATGATTGCAACTGCTACGTATCTGTACTTTCACATACAACAATAAATTCATGTGTATGATGAACGGTGCAGGTCAAAACATTAGGAAGCTGGTTAAGGATGGTTTCATCATCAGGAAGCCAACAAAGATTCACTCTCGCTCTCGTGCCCGTCGCATGAAGGAAGCCAAGAGAAAGGGAAGACACTCTGGATATGGTATATTTCTTCTGAACCATTTGATTTTGTGGTGCATATAGCAGATTCTGTTGTATTTTACAGAAAAATGGAGTTCTATAAAATATTAATTGGGAAAAAGCCAAGAGGTTTTGGTATAAGTAGGCTATTGTTCATGTATTATATTTTTATGTTTGTATTCCTCCATCTCTGAATTTCACCAATATATGTACTGAATTTTCTTAATTTAAGAAAAAAAAATACTGCAGGATATAAACTGCAAATTTTCAAAATATATACCCTATTGAATACTTTGAGAATGGTGTTGCGAGTTCTTTTTATTCATATCATTTGTCTGTGGTTAGTTATTTTCTGTATGGTTTTCGTGGGAGAAGTTTGGTGACTGCAAAGCCTTTTGAATTACTCTAGGTAAGCGCAAGGGTACAAGGGAGGCTAGGCTGCCAACTAAGGTTCTCTGGATGAGAAGAATGCGTGTCCTCAGGCGCTTGCTCCGTAAGTACAGGGAGTCAAAGAAGATTGACAAGCACATGTACCATGACATGTACATGAAGGTGAAGGGTAATGTCTTCAAGAATAAGAGAGTTCTTATGGAGAGCATTCACAAGTCAAAGGCTGAGAAAGCAAGAGAGAAGACTTTGTCTGACCAGTTTGAGGCTAAGAGGGCAAAGAACAAGGCCAGCAGAGAAAGGAAATTTGCCAGGAGGGAGGAACGGTTAGCCCAGGTAAGATATTTAGCATTGGATGTGAATTACTCATTGCTAGAAATTTTATTTTTGTTATGATTTATTTTGTAGGGCAGTTGAACCTTTGCTGTAGTTCTCATTATACCTATAATTTATGTGAAGGAATATTTCAGTCCTGTGATGGTTGTTAGGAACTTGGGGAATATCTTAGATTTGCTTCTTGATGTGATCCTTTAGTCACTTAATGTTTCAAATTTTAGTAGATTATTTTGAGAGCTTTTACTTACATAC